AGGTGGTTTTTCATATAAAGTGGGAGATAAGTAAGTATAGCTGTGACCATCTACAATAAGCGTACACTGCATGTACACAGCGCACTTGGTCCATTTTATGCAGCTTCCTATATCCTATCTCCCATGTAGTTTCAACGTGTGTGGGTGTATTATTATCATCATACATGGGCTGACGGTATACTTAAGAGGAGGGCCCCACGTGGGAATCAGCTTTCGGTAAACCATCTACCTGCTGTTGTATGAAGGGAAACGCATATGCAACGGAGCAGTGTAAGTGTATATGTTATATACCTATACGCGCGTGCAACGTAACGGGAAAAATTTATACATCTGTGTTTTGTGTGTATAGGTATATATCCGTGCATGCGGAGATCGGTATGGTGGTGCATGGGCTGCACGACGAAGAAGCATATACCTACATCGGTGAGGCTGCACGAGCCGGTGCAGAACTATTATAATAATAGGTATATTATATATACCTACTCCCCGCTTGACTTTCGAAATCTTAAAGAAGTTTCCAAGGTGACGCGTATATACGTATATTATATAGGTATACGGACGGCCGAAGCAAACTCCAATGTACCGGCATTTTCTTTCTTATCTCTCATTTTCTCTTCTCTTATTTCTAAGTACATATACATATGCTCGCTCTATCTTTCTTCTTTTGACCCTCGAGTTTTTGGTCCTAAAAATAGAAGCGACGCCCCTCGAGCTCGCGCGCGTATACGATCATGTACGTATTGGTACCAAGTTGAGCGAGAAGTTGAGTGTAGTATGGTGATGGTCCCTTTTTGCTGCGGATGCGGAGGTACGAGCACATATAAATAACTGTATATACATATGTATACATATACGGTACCGCGAGATCGGTTAATTTTGACGAGAGAAAATAAAATGAAAGACTACAGTGTTACATTATATTTTAGAGTGGGTGAGTAAATAATATAAAGTAGCTACCTATACGAGACGCATCAATTTGTGCGATGATAAAACGCGTCACTGTAGGGACGAATACAGAATCAATGATGATCTTAAGGTTACATACAGGAGAGCAAGAAAAATTAAGTAAGTGACGACGAAGGGAAAAAACAAAACTCTCTGATGAATCAGCGTGAGCGTATGAACGTTTGTTTTTTTTTGTGATACGTCGAATGAAAAATCGTATAGAAGCAACAAAAAAAGAAGGAAAAGAAAATTTATGCCTACAATTTTCGAAATTTGAAAGAAAAAAAAAGAGAAATAGTGTGTAGATATTTCACGCCGTGTACACACGCGAGTGAGTGTATACAAGCATCACCGGAGGCAGGGCTATAGCAAGTAATTTTCGCCGTCCGCGTGATTTGTGAGGGTCGAAAAAAAAATGTACAGAGAGAGAAAAACCGGTAGAGCTTTTTACCTTTCCACAAGAGGCACCATCGGCCGATTGCCGATCGAATATGTAGTATACAGTGGCAGCGTATCGGGGTGGAAACAGTCGGCTGCAAACTAAATGATTACCGATTAATTCGAACGTTGGAATAGTTACTACGTTATCGCGAGTAAAAAAAAAAAAAAAAAAAAAAAAAAAACGGTGATGCAGAGCTTAAATTGGAGATTTTCCGTTTTTTTTTTTTTTTGTGGCCTCGGTGATATTTTGACACCGATATCGGGCAGAGGAAAAGTGCCTCAATCGCGTGAGAGAACATTGAAATTGAAATCGTGTCGAGCGGCGCCTTGGAATTTAATTTTCAATTTCAATCGCTATATTTCCATGATTAAATATATATGGGCAGATAACACGATTGAGACCCAAATTAGGCGAAAACTTTTAACTTACTTCACTTAGTGTAAAGCTACACCGAGCTACTAAAAAATATTTAAAAAGTTTTTAAAAATTCTTCAAAATTCTTCATAATTTCCCTTAGTTGTCATTTACGTATAAAAAAAAGAAGTAGCCAATTTTATTTTCCCCCTCCAATCAATAAGTATAAGTGTCCGTGAATGACGCAAAGTTGAACGACAATTAATCAACCAAACCACGAATTATGTCTCAATTTCAAGAATTTCACAGCAATACACCAGCCCATCGAAATAATTGATAATCTAAATTATAATCTTCGTCCGTACCGGAGGAGGGAACGTCGGATATTATATTATATCCCTCGCGCGCGGCGTTGCGCTCGTTATTACTGTACAGCCGGAGGATTTGCTCCAATTCATCGCACAGCTTCGAGCTACATAGTAGTGGCCTATACTTATTACGTTATGTTATACGTACAGACAAGATTCGTTTTTCGATGCGTAATCGTTAACGGGTGTAATCTCTGATGCAATAACGAAGCTTAATGGCCACTTTGTGTCTTGTATAGGTGCGTATGCATGTATATTTTTATTGGTAATCCATTAAAACATTCACTGCACGCAATCAAGTATTCATATTTTGTTTCCCATCGTTGTTTTGTTTGAATGCATGAAAAAATTAAATGTACGTAACACACAAGATGTGTGAGATTAAAGTCAATCAAGAGGGAGGGTACAATACCGCCGATTCCATACGCAAAAATAAAATCATTCGACTGGCCGAGATCTATCGAAATTCACGCGGAACAAAAGCAACGATCCTTGCGTGGTTGAACCATGAGCGCAGAGCAAGAAATTTTGACGAAACGCAGCGCATTACAAAGTCGTGGGACTCGTACACGCCTACGTATCCCGCGAATCAACGCATTACATACTTATACACATGACTCCTGCAAATGATTTTCGCTTCTACCTCAATTGATTACACGAACCAATTCAAATAACCTTCGAACGCGGGTATTAGTACCTATTGTCCGCCCAGTAGATAATTATGCATGCATAAGAGCCAGTCAAGGAGGCCCTTTTTTTTCCTTCCCCCGCAGTCTTTTTCTCACTCCTTGAGTGTATGTACTTCTGCAGTGAGTACAAAACAGTACTTTTACCATCGGGGCCACTCGATCTCCTTAGATACGCGATTTCAAAACACAAGAGCGCACCACCACCTCTGTATATCTCCCAGCTACAGGTATACATTGTAACTATATACTCGATACACGTGAATAAAAGGAAAAAAGAAAAAATATGCGTGTGCGTGCCCAAGAGTTGTGAAGCGATTGGCCTTTTTTTTTGTCCCCTCCACCCTCTTCCCCCTCGTGCCTCGTGTTGTATATATACGTGTGGTTTATTGTTGTGGAGCCCGAGTACAATCGATCGTGTGCTGTATAATATACAGTATGCCCCTTTTTTCTTCAATCTCCTGTTTCACGTCCTTTGCCTCATTTTTTTTTTTTTTTTTTTTTTTGTATTTTCGCGTGGGACCTCGATCTCTGTAGTCATCGACTTCCCGCTTGGTTTTTCAAAAATCGGACCATCTTGTTCACATCTTTTGGTATGGTACCAGCTTTACATTGGCTGATAAGCTGAAAATAGGAGGGTAAACAGATATATATATATCTGGTGTGACGCAAGGCAGCTTTTCTATCGAGAGATAGTCCCGAAGCGATGGAGTACATTTTTTCTCCTCCTCGATATTGGTATAGAACACATGAGAACAACGAAGTTCACGTGGTGTAGTTATAACGGGGCTGAGAAAGTTTTGCTTCGCGATTTTCACCGAGAAATAATCAACCATCGCTACGACATCATAATGTACACGCACGGAGTTTTTTAGCTCCTCTGTGTTGTAGAGCAAGTGCCCAAATTTGTGTAATAAAAAACACTGAAAAAATAAATAAAGGGAAAAGAAGTGCCCTCCAGTCTCTGATCGTATACTTTCGCCCACTCGAGTTTACGAAAGAGACAGAAGAGAGAGCACATTCGGCATGCTGCTCTCAGAGCATGTACCTATCTGCAAAAGAAAAAAAAAAAAAAAAGAAACAAGGCCAGACCTTATTTTTTCGTTCCACTTTTTTTGCGTATTTCGTGCAGATTCAACACTCTCGCGAGGGCTCATCCGATGCTCGTATACATATATATTGGCGTCGAGTCCGCGTTACGCTCTATATTCGCGAGACGATGGCTCGTTTTGTTGTATATGTGTCAGGTGTGCAGCCCGTGCCATATTTATGCGCCTATCTTTAGTAGGTAGGTACCAAGTTTCGTCATTACAGGCCGCTTGAAAGCACAGGTATACGTAAAGAGTGTCCTTGTTTGACGTTTTCATTAAAATCATTACAGAGAGTGACCCTTGATTGCAAGTATTTCGGTAAAATACGCCAATACACGTCAATTGGTGACAACGGTACTCTGATTTTTCAATCAACGTCCATGGGGGAGAAAAACAAAACGTTGAAAGTTTCCTCATCATCGCCGAGACTTTATTCCCCCCATGGGATATATACCATTCGACGCAGTAATGCCGTCAAACAATTTATCAACCGTTTCGACAATGAACGTGTAACAATGGGTAACAATCAAAACAAACAAACTCATTGTTTAATGTCAGTGCAGCGGACTAGTATATATATATATATATATATCATACATACAGTCATGCAAAGAATCGTGAAAGAGGTGAACAACCGCTTATACTCGATTAACACGAGCCATGTAGACGTGAGTGTTGCACCCGTGGATATTTATACGTTATGAAATGAAACGCACGTGTCAAACGAGGCAGCGGAGCCAGACTGAAGCTGCAAAAAAAACGTCCCCTTGGAAAAGTAAGTGTACTTAGACGCTCGGCCCTATTAGCGCGAAAGTTTGTTCCCACGACCCCTGCTCCTTAACCACCCCCTCGATAACAACAATGGTAATGGCCACCCTCCCTTTGAAAAAAAGGTAAACAGTATTCGCCCATGCCATTATACATATATATACACGGATCGAAATGTTTATACGAAAGGCTGAGAATAAGTTTCTATGCATTTCTATCGTTGCCGTGCATGTCTAATAAGTAGACTTTATATTTATTCATACCACGTTGAATTAATAAACAAGAGAGAGAGAGAGAGAGGAGAATGCGAATAAAAAAAAAGAAAGAAAGAAATAAAGAAACTGACCATCGTCTCAGCTGCTGAATTCTGATTAAAACTCGATGCTGACGTTGTGTATGTGCCAAGTGCGGAGGGGGCCGAAAAACAACATGTACAAGCCAACTTGTGCCAAAACAGCTGCTGCAGCAGCAGCACCGCCGATTCTCCCGTTGGACCGCATCTAATGATGATGAGCTCCCACCACCATCCGTATCTCGGTCAGTCCACCATCAGCTGTGCGGTGCGAATCGCCACTGTTGCCCGTTAGCCTCGTCAACGAGGTCCCCCTTGGCAATACAAGCTCTGTCACCATGATTACAATTTACCCACTGCACAATATATTATTAGATGGCACGCACTTTAAGTATGTCCGCGCTCAAGAGTCAGGTAAAAGTACGCACGCATGTAACTTTTGACAGAAGATACTACGTAAGTGTTAGCGAAAAGTATATGAGATGGCACGCGCGCGTTCGTACAAAAGAATATGGAGGTAAAATTTAATCTAAAATGAAAAAAAAAAAAAACAAAAAAACGAGAGTGAGAGAGGGAGAGAAAACGGAGCCGCTCTCCTCTCTGGGCCCTCTTCGCTGGTACAGACGAAGAGGAGAAGGTGAGGTGAACCTGTGTGTTGCCACAGCAGCCAGCCAGGAGGAGAGTGTCCCTCTCTAGCAAACGTTATCGATCTCTTTCACGGGCGCGCGCACTCACACACGCACACTTGCTGCTGCTGCTGTTACATTGGATTGTTTTATACATACGTTCAAGTATAAATAAAAAGGTGGACAAAATCCACCATCACTTCCATCGCCAATGGCCCCGTACACCTGTCCACATAGAGAGGATGACTGTGGCCCAAACTTGCTGGATGCTGATGATCCTGCGCGGCTACGCGTAGTCGCGTACAGGCTACTCCACTCTGACTCTGGATTTCGGAGTTCGGAGCTAATACACTTACACACGCATACAGGTTTAAATGCAAGGTTTGTTGACGTCTGGTTGAATATGGTATAGAGATATATGTTTCAATAGCCGCTTCGCGCTGTGTATTATATCATATCACCGCACACGCCTTTACTAGTTACTACTAACGCGCAAATTTACAAATGATAGTCCTAGCAGTTGCATTTGTTGCTTTGAAATTTGTCGACAGGTAAAAAAATTTAACACACATCAGCCAACAGTTCGTGCGAGCGCGTGAATGAACGGACGAAAGAGCGCTTACATTATTTTCGTGAGTTGATATAAAAAAGTGCGATGCAATCGCTACGACGATCCAGCGAGAACTGGCGGGCCGGTCTGCTCGACTCTATCGCGGCGGGGAGGCAAAACGGAGCAGCGGCGAAATATTACATACCTATACCTATATATACGAGCGGAGCAAAAGAACAGTATATAGAGAAAAAGAGAGAACGGCACAACTCCTCCTATCTGTGTGCTGCTGCCGCCGCAGATCTCTCTCTCTCCCTCTTTCTGTTTCTCGTTTGATTCTCTCTTACTCCGTTACTATTTGCGTGTTTTATTTATACAGACTCCGTTCCGAAATATACTGCCGACAAAGTTGGGATCACGTGATAAGGTTATAAAACTTACCGAGTCGGCGGTCAAGGGGAGGGGGCTGTTCCGAGCTTGCAAGCTGCTAGCAGAAGAGCATCGTTCTGTGGCTGTCGCGTTCTATATATATACGTTCCAACAGAGCTCGCGGTTATACTGAATATCAGTTCAATCTGCATAAAACGAATTTTGAACCGAAAATATACTGTGGTGAAAATTGGAAGGCCTCGCGAGGAAAAAAGAATCGCGAAAGTTCGTCCGGCAAAGGTTAAGCCCACGTATTAAATGCAATAAGTGATTTTTACCCCTTTCTCGGCATCTCATGAGGAATATATAGGTATGTTGCGACGAACGAACAACGGGAGTAAACGTTTCACGATATTGTCTATTACATTTATGTGTATTTCAAATACTTACCGTTGGAAAAAGGGAAGTTTTGCGCACAAACAGTGATTGTGACATTTTAACAATAAGCCATATCTTTGTCAATAAAAATTTATAATCCCAGCTTAATTGTAGCAACACAATATTTTTTGTCCCCTGAAGTACAGCAAGCACCTGCAGTTTTTTCTCTTCTCTGCGTCTTCGTCGAGTCTGGCGGCCCCACCAGCCCCCATGTGGTTTGTTTTTTGAATGGGAAGAGGGCAGGTGTGCGCGCACAACATCCCCCGCTTTCTTTTCCTTTTGAGGCATTTTTGATGGGAGATCACGGGCGCGTGGGAATATTTTTTAAGAACACAGACGCGTCCGATTTTTCCCATGCCGAAGCGTAAAAAATAAATTTACGCGTTAGTACTCGTTGTGTTAAATAATTTAAGTAACAACCGAAAACTTGTCAGTAGGTGTATGCAGTGATCAGGATGTATTTTTTTCATGGGGAGTAATTGTTACACGTATAATGATATGCCAGAAGTTTCTTTGTTTTTTGTTTTTTAAATTTTGTATATTGCAAACGATTATCTTACAATTTGACACACTTTTTTTCATATATTAATTTTTTTTTTTTTTTACGTTTTATTATCAATTATCGATAGTTATGTTTTAAGGCACGGCAGAATTTTCACCAGAGGAAAGCTCAAAATAAAAATTACAACTCTGTAACAGAAATTAAAAACATAGTAAATTTGTTACAGTAATATTATTATTTTTCAAAAAACCATTATAATCATCAAACAATTTGATCTCTTTGAATGCATTAAAATAAACTTATGAAAAATTGCCAGATTAATTTATTTTACAAACTGTTACTCTCTTTTCACTGGTGAGAAATGTAGTAGTCGTGCTTTGTATGCTTTTCCCTCTATATAAATATTATCATTAGTTTTGTTACAACGCATATGTTATATACAATTTTTTAACAATGTACACAGTTATTAAACAAATTTGTAATTAATAATTTTATATTAGAAGTAAAATATTTTTGATCGCTCATTGAATATCTGCAAGGAATCCGATCGCAGATTAAATCGCAAATACTTAGTATGAAAGATTTCGGCATGCAAAACAGCCGATTGACAAAATTGATAACATTTATCCAATCCACATAAAAAAAAAAATATTTATATCCCTCTCATAAAGTTAAATACAGGAAATGTAATAAAAAGGGGTGAAGAATAATTTAAATAAAAGGACTTCTGTAAAAAAGACAAGCAATCACGACTCTCGTAATTAGTGCTCCTCATAACTCCCTCCGCCTTTAACTTTCACAGCCTATGCTCATTATCATTTAATCATGCATCTTTTTTTTTTTGTCCTATATACATTAAAATATCGTCACGCTGAATAGCGCATTAATTGAAATTACACTTAAAATCTACAAATACTGCAGCCCAAATTGCGTGTAACATCGTGGAATTTTGATCAATCATCAGTTCAATGATTTTGTTACATTTTCGTATCCTTGCTCCTCATACCGATAATTTTTTTTCTTTACCATCATTGTTCCGTGCTTTCTTGTGCGTTTTGTCATTGCAAATTTTTTGCGTTGTGTAATTGTTTGTATCCCTAAAACAGTAAAAAAATTTAGTTTATTTACAACGTTTTACACTTGCTTTCAAGCAAAATAATACATCCAACAGACACTTTAACAACAACTACTAAAGTAAAAAAACAACCTTCTGTAATCTTAAAATCGTAAACAAAAATTTTTATTGACAATTTGCACAAAAAAATTTTTTTTCCGCTAACATGTAAAAAAATAAAAATAAATAAAACAAGCTCATTTAAATTTAAACGCATGAGCTGGACAAATATAAAATAAAAGCAGTACAAAGAATAACCATCTTAACAGAAACACAAATCGTTGCACTAAAAACAATAAATTTATTTTTTATTGAAAAACATATATAAATAAACAGATAGTTTTCTTTGTACACAATACTTACAAGTAATTATAAATAATTTTAGTTTGTTAGATGAACGTAAAATAAAAATTTAACATCTTTAACGCCAATGAGAAGAAAAAAAGTTTCTCAAAACAAGATTATAAGTAAAATTTGTAGTTCACCTAACTTTTTGATAAAAAAAAATTAACAAGATTACAATAAATTAGCGAGATCGAGTTAAAAATAACCAATGAAAAAAATTCTTGCATTTTTTAGATGCATTAGTAAGTGTAAGAAGAGACAAAAAAGATGTTCAGTGGTTCATGCTGCCGTAACACGGCGCTTGTGTGCCTAATAATCTTTCGTCGTTGGGCCTTACAGCATTATTAAAAGAGTCTCGGAGCCTTTCGGTGAACGTTTTGTATTCCATGTCGGCACTACGCTGACCAAAGTCGAAGTCTGCCACTTCGACGGTAAAGCGCGACTTGTTTTGCACGTAGTAGGCAATGCCAAAGACAATAAGGACCACGGCTACTAAGGAACATGTAAGTGGCACCACAATTACCGATAACTGAGGCTTGGGAATCACTAGAATTTTGGTTTTCATAAGTATAAGTTGAAAAGAATATTTTTTTGTAATAGTGAATATTATAAATATCAACTTACGCTCGTAAATGTTAACTGCCACCGGATGTACTTCAGTACTGACGTCATTGCTCAATATGATTAAAACTGTGTACTCCAGAGCGTCAAGGAAATAGTGACTGAATGAAAATTTACAAATATCCAGTGTTTCACTGTTGTCTTGATTGCAAGTTTCATTTCCAGTGGTATTGTACTTCCCCATGTGAATTTCGATACATTTCTGGAAAGGCCCTGTTCCATTACACGTTATATCAAGTTGTATACTATTCCATGGTTGAATCCATGTTGAGCCTTCAATGTTTAACTTGGATATGGGTGCTGTTAGGAAAATAAAATGGTACAAACCAATGATGAAATTTTTTTTTCAATCAAGATATATCGGTAATGATGTAGCAAAAAATTGAATTTACCTCTCACTTTGACTTCTGTTTGGAAATGACCATACGTTTCATTGACATTAGGTGGCAACCTAGACTTGCATACTAAAGGGAATGTTTCATTTGCAAAATGAGGCACTGATGCATTTGTTGAGGCTGTTGTTGTTGTTGTTGTTGTTGTTGTTGTTGTTGTTGTTGTTGTCGTCGTCGTTTTTATTGTTGTTGTAGGTGTAGGTGTAGTTGTAGTTGTGGATGTATCATTCGTTGGAACGGCAGTTGTCCCATTTGATGGCACAGTTGTGGGTGTGGTATTAGTAGTAGTTGTGGGAGCTAGCGTTGTAACAGGTGGATCAAAATTAGCCACAACAAGAGCCTCAACAACATAAGTGGTATTTGGCTTTGTAAAATTATAGTCTAATGTAAAACCGTTTGTGCGACTGTGGTATTGACAATCAATGAACCAATACGTTGTGATAGTCGCTGATTTCTTTACTAAGTAATCATAATCTCTCTTTTTTACATTCACAGTTATTCTTGTCTCTCTGTCAGATGATACAAACTCACTTTTTCCAGAGTAATTTGTTTGTTGTATTGTCAAATACCCATCAAATAGTATGGCTGCAAAAATAAAAGATATTAATTTGTGATATACTGCAACTTCAATACACTATAGCTCGTTTGCAAGATTATGAAAAACGACTTACGAAACAGTATTGTTTTTTTTCCAAAAAAATGGCAAAAAATTTCCATGTACCCCCATTTGCAGACATCAACTTCCATTGTGTACACGCCTAAATGGTACATTGATGCTGGATAGCTGGCTCTGAAGAGCGACGTTGTATTTGTTGTTGTGCCGCTCTGAAAGGGGAAAAAAAAACAAATCATGAGGCATTTCAACTAAACAAACAAAGGCAAACAGCAACAAGTTGTAAATGCAATGATATATGGACACGAGCGTACCTCAAAACGATGCTGTTTCTCGGCATTGTCTTCCCACTTGTAAACGAAATTTCCTGTTGGTGACTTATCGTTCTTGTCCAAAATACTAGCAAAGAAAGTGATAGTTCCACCAAGTGGCACGAGCTTGTCATAATAAAGCTCGACATCTCCAGACGCTTCTACAGCATGAGCTCCTAAAAAAAATACGCTCATTTCAAACCATGAAAGAAGAGATCCATGACGCAAAAAATTCCTCTTATTTGTCCCATATGTATGTATGCGTATAGCTATACGTAGCTATCTCGATGCGTATAGTCGAGAAGCTCGTTACCTCCTCGTAAGTAAACCTGATGTCACTCATCCTCATAGATAGTGATAATGCAATACACTCACAATAGAGCACACAAGTAAATATATATGTATACAATGAAAGATATGGAAACGAAACACAATACTCAAGTAGTTGAATATTGCACGCCCTTCTCCCATATCATAATCATTGCATGAAAAACTGTGTTCTCACCTTGGCATGCCAGTAGTAGTAGTAGCAGCAGCAGCAGCAGCAGATGCGACAGCAACAAAGACGTCGACGTCGTCGTCGAGACGAAGGAGGAGCTGGTGCAACTTGCTGCTGGCTCGCTGCCGCGGCGACGCATTTTCTCAGCTGTAGATCATTTATGCCGAGCCCAACGCACTTTTCCTCTATCGGCTTTTGTACTCGTATACCTTGTAGTTTTTTAACGAACAACACTTTGCTACTTAAGTGGTAAGTATTTAGTGCGCAAAAAAAAGAGAAAAAAAAAAACAATAGCGCAGAGATACTGTCAATAATTACTAACAATAATTAGAGACGCCAACGAGTGGAGTGCACACAATTTCGCGAGTAGACCTGCGGAACTGTGAATGAAGAGAGGTATAGGTACCTAAAATGGGTATACTACGATACAATGAAATGGCATACATGTACTATAGAGAGAGAGATTGGGAATATGTCATCGGGATGAGATGGAAAAAAAAAAACTCGTCATTTGATTGCGCATGCTCCTAAAGATTCGCGATAAATTTGCACCTTATTCGCATTGGGCCCGCTAGCGCCAGAAAACCATCGTAAGTTGGCTCTAGTGAGGGACATAAAAAGCTTATGCATGAGTAAGTATATGGGTCCATAATATATTTATGTTCCCGGGAATCCCGGGTGTTCCTTCTCATCTTGGTGTGAGGGCGCCTCGGTATTGCCGATTTAAAACTTGGTTCTTGCAAGTCAAATATACTTATCTGCTTATTACAATGGAAATAGACAAAATACAATTAACACTCAAGCATAAATCGGTAACGGAGAAACCACGAAAGACATTCGTCTAGCTGTTTGTACTTTTTATTATAGCACAGCTGTGACGGGGCCGTTACAATATGCTCCCAGATTATACACCGATCGTTTAATCGATTACCGGTCAACTAGCAAAATATGCGTAAAACTACATCTTTACGCCGTAAGTAGGTATATAAGTATGACTGAAATCGCGCCCCTGTTGCCAGCAACTGTCCGTACGAAGACATCAGAGGCGGCGCTCGGGAGCGGCTGCTGTGCAGAGATACTTATAGTAAGCGTGTAAGTATATAGGCCCATTTCATCGGTAATCAGGTGCTTAAAACCGCAGTGCTCGCCGGAGCCGCGCTCGATCAACATGTCGCGGACAAAGTACATGCCTATCATATGTTTTACTTAGTTGAAATTTTGTAAAAAAAAGTACTACGCGCACATGCCCACGTGAATTTACAATCAAAGGGGATAAAGTATACAGTTTGTATTATTACCGATTTCGAACACGTAAATGCAACACGCGTCGCAACGGTGATTGACTCCGATGCTCAGTGAGCACGACGATTCGATTGTTTGTACGATGTTCTTGGGGTTGCCGGGTGGCACCACCTTTATCTTCGTCATCATCGAGAAGGAGGTAACAACACCGACCGCAGTCCGGGTTCGCACCTCACCCGAAGCCACAGATTCACCGCGAGACTCACCTATGTGCTATACATTTTTTCTTTCTCTATATTATACACATTGGCTATATTATTATTAAGTATTACCATCATTCAAACCTTGCAAAAGTCGAAGTTTACTTTTGGTACTTTTTTTCTTTAATTTACTCAAACTTTCAACAATATAAGTATTATACACACTTAGTCGTACTTACGGTGGAACACGCGCCCGAGCGATCATAGTGCTTTCACTCGCCGCGTAAATATATACTTACATCTGTGTTATGTTCTTGTATCATGTTGCAATATATACCTATACTTAATTAATTACGTACACCTATGTTACCCGATAGACGTTTTTTTTTTTTCTTTTTTTTTTTTTCATCCCTGCTAACGCGCTTGATTTTCAGGAAAACAAAAAATAAATCACCACCAGCACGTCCACGCATGCATAGCCACGGGTAATTAAAGACCCTTCGAGAGAGGAAAAAACTCTCTCTGTACATGTAAACAGGAGGGGAGCAAAAAAATGGCAGTATTCGAAGTGCCCCAAATAACATCGGCAACAGCGGCATCGGCGAGCTCACGGATGCTCCGGCACGAAAGCACCATGAGCTGTTCGTCGTCGTCGTCGTCGTCTATGGGGGCCAGCTGCGAGTACCCGTCGAGTGTCGTGTACCTGCTGGCTAGTGCCTTTTTCCTCGGCGTCGGGGTCTTCATGCTACTATCTGCCCTCGGAGTTCTCGGTGACTCGCTCCACGCCTACCTAGAGGTCTGCTGGTACCTCGGCATGGTTTTCGTTCTCTGTGGCGTGGTTACCGGGGTACAGTGCTACTTTTACCTCCGCGAAAAGCTCGTCTGCAGTAGCTTTGACGGACAAGGCGCAACGGCCCCGGTACACCAACGGCGCAACCGGCGTCCCAGGAGCGGTCGACGACTCTGGCTGGTATTTATACATCTCTATCTCCCCAGTATAATATAATGTTACGTTTCATCTCTGTACATCCAAAATGGACTGTTTTTTTTTTCTTTTTTTTTTTTTTTCTTTCTTTTACCACCTAAAAAATCAAACTAATTGGAGTGTATATTGGGTATATTTATTTCAAAAAGTCACGCAAACACTTGGGTTTATACAGTGTGTGTGTGTGTGTTGTCACGTATAGTTCCTGCCGGACAGCTTTCACTCGTTTTGTTTGAAGCGCGCCGGGAGTGACCCATAGACCTTTATTTTCTCTTTCCCCCGTTAAATGAAAAACAATTTTACAATCATGAATAAAAAAGTATTCGTTTTTGCTTAAATTCCTTTCAACGAGACGCGGCAATCACTATATATCCACACGATATGCGTACGCGTGCGTCTATGAGGCGGGGATAGAAAGATTCGAATGTGGGTTGCCGCGCTTGTTGTGCTCTCTTGACACTCGCCCCGACACGGGAACTGGTTTTTCGCCGTCCCACAAACTTTCTACACCGCGAGCTGTAAATATACGAGTTCGAGCGTACATAAGTATAATCACCTACTACTTGCACTTTTCTCTCGATCGCCCTCCTGTCATTTTGTTCATTTTGTGCATGTGTATTTTTTTTTTTCATTACTCACGATTCTTGCGTTGGAAAATCGGTGCTGCAGCGTGTGCGTATTTTTTCTTTGTTCTTCACTTGATGTCATCGAGACCGCGTTGTCAATATTTTGCACGTCGAGTCGAGTTTTTTTTTTTTTTTTTTTTTTTCTTTTTTTTTTCGTGAGTTCAATTGTATGTGACGAAATTCGAATTTCACGATCGGATTTCACCGTCGGTCGAAACACTGAGTTGTACGTGTATAAGCGTACATCGTTGAGGAAAAGGAAAATATGTACACGAGCTTTGCACAATCGAACGCTTGTTTAATGAATGTAATTCGAAAATTTTTGTTTACATATTGTATTTTGGGTATAGGTAAAATTGGCGATGCGTGAAGTTGATTCACCTTTAAACAGACATACCTGCATACGACGTGACAACGGAAAAAGCGGGTAGACAGTTGCTGTAACTTTTGGCATTTTTTTTTTTTTGGTTTCGGTGTCTGTAGATGGTGATACACACAGTAGAAAGTGTATTTGAAAGATTTTTCACAGGTGCAGAAAAAGTAATTTTGTATATGAACATGAATTTTTTTTTTTTTTTTTTTTTTGTTAAGTACCTCTTGTGTAACGTTTTTATGCTTAGGAAATATGTTCCGGATGCTCCATATAAAATTTTACGGTAATGTTCTTATACGTTTGAGTCTTTTTTAATTTATCTCCAATTTCATATCTCGATTCGGATGCACGTAGATTTTATTGCCTATACCAGTTTCGCGAGCAAAAAAAATAATCGTAAATCCACGCATAAATCATCACTTTTATCGGTAGAGACGAGTCGGTCGAATAGGTAATATGAGCTTTCGTTATTGAGATAGGCGGAAAAAAACGTTATAAAATTTGAATTGTTAACGTGCTTTTTAGCTTATTTGTCATTATATAGGTACAATTTTCCCGAGATTTGGCCTTGACATTCACCATTTTTATCTCAACGCACAGTTTCCAGACTCGGACACAATTATATTACGGAATTTCGAACACTTCGAAAGAATTTTTTTTTTCTGATATAATTTGTCTAATACCCCAAAACCCGTTTTTTTGACAAACAAGTGTTATATATGTTGTTTTTCTTTAAATGATTTATTTTTCTTCGAAATTGTAAAGCGTTGTTTCTTCTCCAAAAAATATTGTTAAGGTCTTTTAGGTATTTAAACAAACAATTTATTTTTATTTATAGCAAAAAAGCGTATTGAAAAATATCGAAAAAGTATTGACATCCAGGTGTTCATATCGAAGAAATCAACGATTCAAAACGAAAACAACAAAAGTACTTCTCGAGTGTTTGCTCTCAGACCGAGCTTGCAACCAAAAAGGTGTTTGGTTAATTTTTTCTTCTTTTTTTCTTTTTTGTTCTCTTTTGCGTCACCATAACGCATTACACGTCCACTGAGCTTGAGGAAAAAAAAAAAAAAAACTACTAACAATAAACTACTCAACAAGCAGGAAAAATTTTTTTTTTCACGCCAAGCTTATCACAGATCGCACGCTACCGACGAAAAAAAAAAATTGGTATATACGTACGCTATCGTCTTTTTTTCTCGTTTTGATTTTATATATTTTTTTCACTTTGACGAGTTCAGGTGCAACGGGAGGATCATTATATGCCTTTTCTCCCGAAACGCGCGCGCTCGAGAGGCACAGAAACCCATTAGTAGGTACATTGATTACCGAAGAGTAAAGCCGAGGGAATTTCATGTTTCTCGCAAAAACAGCAAACGAACCGATCGTCGAACCGGCGGGGCAACCAGGACATGCTGCCCCAATGGGTGACCCAATTGATACACGACCAGCTGCAACACCTGGGCCCGGGCGAGGAGCTTCTGATAAACTTGCCCCTCAACGGGGCGTCGAACCCTCCGCCCTACGAGGTTGTCGTTGTCCAGGGCTCCCGCGACGCACCCCCGCCCACCTACGTTGAGGCCATAGCGCTGCTCAACCACCATCAGCAACAACAACAACAACAACCTGCCTCTCAAGGTATACATTTTATTAGCTCAACCCCGGCATTTGCACGCACTTTTGCGCAAATATGGCTTGTGGGTGCTCGACATTAGCGGTAATTGTACCGCTAATCGCCATGTCCCGTTTGATCGACCGCTCGTTACGTCTCCTTTGTCTTGCTGTGTCCAAAACTGTCTGTGCAAGCGCATGTGTGTTGGATCTTCGGAATCCAATGAGGCTCATTTTTATTTTTATTTTTAGGCGATTCCTAAGGAGTTTTAACACATTTTTTTTCTTTTTTTTTTTTTTCCTCGTGAAATTGTAAGGTATTATATTTACTCATAAATTAAACAATTTATTTGTTGATTTCCAACGAAACCATGAAACGAATATTTTTGTTTTTCGAGCTCCGTATGGTGATTTTTAAAATTACATGACAAAAAAAAACCATCACATTTACGTCGTTGGTGATTCGTTACGAATTTTGATTTTTATTCTTTTTCTTTCCACATCGAGGCATCAAAGAGCGCTACGAGCTTTCACTTTTTTTTTGTACAAGTATATACAATCATTAGACTTTCCCACCCGTTGGCGAACATATTTATACGTTCTTATTGCGTAAGATACTACGTGCGAAGTGATGAGTCCCGTCGCGCTAACTTTTTAAACGCGTTGAAAAAAAAAAAAAAAAAGCATCAGACGAAAAGGATTTCAAAAGATAAAAAGCTAAAACAAACTATCTGGGGTGTGTGTGGCCCGGTCGCGCGCAGGCAGAGACGAGAGTGTAAAAAAAAAATAAATAAATATTAAGGACAACAATAATTAAGCTTCGTCGGGTGTCTTTGAAAATTTGTTGCAGATGCAGCGGAAAAGCCGAGCTGTTGTTCCGCAGCCTCGCCACCGGCAGTGGTCATGGCTGCGGCGACGGATGAAATAGCCGTGGTGGCATCGGTCGAAAAGCCGTGATTTTACGCACCCTTCTCTCGTTAAACCTTTACTGGTACAACGCCCTACTGGTGAAAGAAGCGATGAGGAAAAAAAAAAAAAAAATGTTTATCGCCACTGTTGCCCGAAACGAGAGCAAACCCGTTAATGTGCTCTCCGACAATGAACTTTGGCACTATATACATATACGCGTGTACCATATAATTATTATATCTCTCGGGTAGTCATAATGTGCATGTGAACATTCGAGATAATCAGAGTACGCTAAAAATTGTCATACATTTTGCAGTATCTTGGAGCTCGTGATGACATATTTTACTCTAATTTTCTCGTTACGCAATGTTTTTACCATTTTTTTTTTTTTTTTTTTTTTTTTTTTTTTTTTNTCATAAGTATAAGTTGAAAAGAATATTTTTTTGTAATAGTGAATATTATAAATATCAACTTACGCTCGTAAATGTTAACTGCCACCGGATGTACTTCAGTACTGACGTCATTGCTCAATATGATTAAAACTGTGTACTCCAGAGCGTCAAGGAAATAGTGACTGAATGAAAATTTACAAATATCCAGTGTTTCACTGTTGTCTTGATTGCAAGTTTCATTTCCAGTGGTATTGTACTTCCCCATGTGAATTTCGATACATTTCTGGAAAGGCCCTGTTCCATTACACGTTATATCAAGTTGTATACTATTCCATGGTTGAATCCATGTTGAGCCTTCAATGTTTAACTTGGATATGGGTGCTGTTAGGAAAATAAAATGGTACAAACCAATGATGAAATTTTTTTTTCAATCAAGATATATCGGTAATGATGTAGCAAAAAATTGAATTTACCTCTCACTTTGACTTCTGTTTGGAAATGACCATACGTTTCATTGACATTAGGTGGCAACCTAGACTTGCATACTAAAGGGAATGTTTCATTTGCAAAATGAGGCACTGATGCATTTGTTGAGGCTGTTGTTGTTGTTGTTGTTGTTGTTGTTGTTGTTGTTGTTGTTGTCGTCGTCGTTTTTATTGTTGTTGTAGGTGTAGGTGTAGTTGTAGTTGTGGATGTATCATTCGTTGGAACGGCAGTTGTCCCATTTGATGGCACAGTTGTGGGTGTGGTATTAGTAGTAGTTGTGGGAGCTAGCGTTGTAACAGGTGGATCAAAATTAGCCACAACAAGAGCCTCAACAACATAAGTGGTATTTGGCTTTGTAAAATTATAGTCTAATGTAAAACCGTTTGTGCGACTGTGGTATTGACAATCAATGAACCAATACGTTGTGATAGTCGCTGATTTCTTTACTAAGTAATCATAATCTCTCTTTTTTACATTCACAGTTATTCTTGTCTCTCTGTCAGATGATACAAACTCACTTTTTCCAGAGTAATTTGTTTGTTGTATTGTCAAATACCCATCAAATAGTATGGCTGCAAAAATAAAAGATATTAATTTGTGATATACTGCAACTTCAATACACTATAGCTCGTTTGCAAGATTATGAAAAACGACTTACGAAACAGTATTGTTTTTTTTCCAAAAAAATGGCAAAAAATTTCCATGTACCCCCATTTGCAGACATCAACTTCCATTGTGTACACGCCTAAATGGTACATTGATGCTGGATAGCTGGCTCTGAAGAGCGACGTTGTATTTGTTGTTGTGCCGCTCTGAAAGGGGAAAAAAAAACAAATCATGAGGCATTTCAACTAAACAAACAAAGGCAAACAGCAACAAGTTGTAAATGCAATGATATATGGACACGAGCGTACCTCAAAACGATGCTGTTTCTCGGCATTGTCTTCCCACTTGTAAACGAAATTTCCTGTTGGTGACTTATCGTTCTTGTCCAAAATACTAGCAAAGAAAGTGATAGTTCCACCAAGTGGCACGAGCTTGTCATAATAAAGCTCGACATCTCCAGACGCTTCTACAGCATGAGCTCCTAAAAAAAATACGCTCATTTCAAACCATGAAAGAAGAGATCCATGACGCAAAAAATTCCTCTTATTTGTCCCATATGTATGTATGCGTATAGCTATACGTAGCTATCTCGATGCGTATAGTCGAGAAGCTCGTTACCTCCTCGTAAGTAAACCTGATGTCACTCATCCTCATAGATAGTGATAATGCAATACACTCACAATAGAGCACACAAGTAAATATATATGTATACAATGAAAGATATGGAAACGAAACACAATACTCAAGTAGTTGAATATTGCACGCCCTTCTCCCATATCATAATCATTGCATGAAAAACTGTGTTCTCACCTTGGCATGCCAGTAGTAGTAGTAGCAGCAGCAGCAGCAGCAGATGCGACAGCAACAAAGACGTCGACGTCGTCGTCGAGACGAAGGAGGAGCTGGTGCAACTTGCTGCTGGCTCGCTGCCGCGGCGACGCATTTTCTCAGCTGTAGATCATTTATGCCGAGCCCAACGCACTTTTCCTCTATCGGCTTTTGTACTCGTATACCTTGTAGTTTTTTAACGAACAACACTTTGCTACTTAAGTGGTAAGTATTTAGTGCGCAAAAAAAAGAGAAAAAAAAAAACAATAGCGCAGAGATACTGTCAATAATTACTAACAATAATTAGAGACGCCAACGAGTGGAGTGCACACAATTTCGCGAGTAGACCTGCGGAACTGTGAATGAAGAGAGGTATAGGTACCTAAAATGGGTATACTACGATACAATGAAATGGCATACATGTACTATAGAGAGAGAGATTGGGAATATGTCATCGGGATGAGATGGAAAAAAAAAAACTCGTCATTTGATTGCGCATGCTCCTAAAGATTCGCGATAAATTTGCACCTTATTCGCATTGGGCCCGCTAGCGCCAGAAAACCATCGTAAGTTGGCTCTAGTGAGGGACATAAAAAGCTTATGCATGAGTAAGTATATGGGTCCATAATATATTTATGTTCCCGGGAATCCCGGGTGTTCCTTCTCATCTTGGTGTGAGGGCGCCTCGGTATTGCCGATTTAAAACTTGGTTCTTGCAAGTCAAATATACTTATCTGCTTATTACAATGGAAATAGACAAAATACAATTAACACTCAAGCATAAATCGGTAACGGAGAAACCACGAAAGACATTCGTCTAGCTGTTTGTACTTTTTATTATAGCACAGCTGTGACGGGGCCGTTACAATATGCTCCCAGATTATACACCGATCGTTTAATCGATTACCGGTCAACTAGCAAAATATGCGTAAAACTACATCTTTACGCCGTAAGTAGGTATATAAGTATGACTGAAATCGCGCCCCTGTTGCCAGCAACTGTCCGTACGAAGACATCAGAGGCGGCGCTCGGGAGCGGCTGCTGTGCAGAGATACTTATAGTAAGCGTGTAAGTATATAGGCCCATTTCATCGGTAATCAGGTGCTTAAAACCGCAGTGCTCGCCGGAGCCGCGCTCGATCAACATGTCGCGGACAAAGTACATGCCTATCATATGTTTTACTTAGTTGAAATTTTGTAAAAAAAAGTACTACGCGCACATGCCCACGTGAATTTACAATCAAAGGGGATAAAGTATACAGTTTGTATTATTACCGATTTCGAACACGTAAATGCAACACGCGTCGCAACGGTGATTGACTCCGATGCTCAGTGAGCACGACGATTCGATTGTTTGTACGATGTTCTTGGGGTTGCCGGGTGGCACCACCTTTATCTTCGTCATCATCGAGAAGGAGGTAACAACACCGACCGCAGTCCGGGTTCGCACCTCACCCGAAGCCACAGATTCACCGCGAGACTCACCTATGTGCTATACATTTTTTCTTTCTCTATATTATACACATTGGCTATATTATTATTAAGTATTACCATCATTCAAACCTTGCAAAAGTCGAAGTTTACTTTTGGTACTTTTTTTCTTTAATTTACTCAAACTTTCAACAATATAAGTATTATACACACTTAGTCGTACTTACGGTGGAACACGCGCCCGAGCGATCATAGTGCTTTCACTCGCCGCGTAAATATATACTTACATCTGTGTTATGTTCTTGTATCATGTTGCAATATATACCTATACTTAATTAATTACGTACACCTATGTTACCCGATAGACGTTTTTTTTTTTTCTTTTTTTTTTTTTTTTTTTTTTTTTTTTTTTTTTTTTTTTTTTTTCTTATTGGCTGCGATTGCAGTTATACTTGGAATTCACAAGTAATTTGTAACAAGATCGCTCTGTAATTGAAAAAAAAAATTGAAGCAAAAACTCTTTGATTCATCATAAGGACGTCTGTGGGTGAGAAAAAAGTTGAAAGTGAGTTATTGCCACTCACACGCGCACACAGAGAGAGTAAAATTTACGGTTTGGGAAAAAAAAAAAAAAAAAAAAAAAATGACATCGATGACATTGTGCGAACAAGGAAGTGTGGGCAAAGATTTACAAGAATCTGATACGTTTTGTATCTTGAAATACACACACGATGATAATAATAATGTACATGATATGCCTGTGGGAGGCGAAAAAAATTATTAAAAAATTGTGAAATTGATAAAAAATATGGATAAATTGCTAGTGGTTTTTTTTTTCACGGGTCTACATAAAATTCGACGAGAAATGGAGAGCAAATGAAAATTTTGGCAGTTGTGAGGTAAAATCGAATAAGGATATCGATTTGTACATTGAGTTTATTTTTTTAGTAAAATACCAAATGGTTATTTCATGAACTTATCTTTGAAGATAATGTCAAAGTGATACGATAAGTGACTCTGAAACTGCGATTAATCATGAGTGACGAAAAAACGCATCGGTCTTTCGAGTGAAAGACAATCGTGAGGCCATGTAACTTTTGATAATGCAGTGAAGGTTTTTTAATTTTTGTTAACAATATCGACCAGTATTAAAAGCAAAAAATAATTGTTCTTAAGATTAAAATTATATTTATGATAACTAATTTTATTCAATGGGAGACGTGATTTTTCATAAAATATTCGAGTTACGAAATGAAATACCTTATCGTTACTGAATCCAAACAGATTTGGAGGTATTTCTAACTTTTGCCATTAATTTTAGTATCTGTTTTTATAATTTAACGTAAAGCGATAGTCATATAATTTTTGAAACTAATATTTGCAATTATCCACTACAATTGATGGTGTAAAAATATACTTTTGTAACTAGTTTTTAGTGAGCTTCAAGCTTTTATGTACATAAATATAGTATTTATTCGAAATATGTATACTTGCTTATAATTTTCTTGGGTCAAAGTTTTAAGAAAAATAATAAAATAGGAAGAAAATTTGAAAAAACTCTACAATTTTTGTATTCTTTTATTATTAAATAACGTATAATAATTAAAGATTTTATTCAACTCGATGGTACGAGAAATGAAGAAAAAAAAACTGGAGAATGGACAGAAAGCGCAAGTGTGTCGTAAAAAGAGAGAAAATAATAATCAGCATTTCAGCCTTGACACCGCGATACCAACAGCAGCAGTTCATGCCTTTGCACTGGCAAGCATCTCCTCTTGGTGAATCAAGTGCGTAGTATTGTTGACAAGGCTCATGAGCTTTGACAACGAGCTGGACCACTCATCTAGCAGCGAAGCAGGTTCCTGCGTCCTCGTAAATCGTACGACACCGGCTGGCCGGTCGGTACGCGCACTTATCACGCCCTTCTCGACCAGGTTGCACAGACACTGCTCGGTCTCCTCTACCGGCAGATCTAGCAGCTCAGCCATGCGCGACAACGTGATTCTTGTGTAGTACTTGGCCATTATTCTGATGTTCTGAATAATGCAAAAATATTTCATATACATGAATAACTTGAAACGTCAACCCGTTGTTTCGTATTCATAATTTTTAAAAAACGTACGTGTTCAACTACGCGGTTTCGTAATTCACTCCAGCGTTTACGTCCTTCCTCTGTACATGCAGAAAACACTTCTGTTGCACGCAAATTTTTCTCGTAAATCTCACATAGACCGGACCATTTAATCAACTCTGGATTGACAAATAATCTCAAAAGTTCTCTGTTAAGTAAAAATGTTTAGTTGGCATTAAATTTCGAGTTTTTTTTTGTTAAAAAATTATAAGCTTACTTGTAGATTGGTATTCCTTCAAGAAGCTTATCCCCGAGTAATCTGTGGGTAAGATCTGCTTGCTCTGGTTCGTGTCGGGCTAGAATGAGGTACAAAATAGCCCTTGATAAAGCAGTGTGTCTCTTTTCTTCATCTGCTTTCACAGTGGGAGTTTCCAGTACAGCACGATTATGACGACACAGCTCCAAGTACCAACCTTCGTGACGCGCTAATTCCATCATTAATCTAAGAAAAAATTTAATTCAAAAAAAGCACAATTAAGAACTCAAACGTTAAAAATCATAGGGCAAATAACATATTTTTTCTTCCAATACGTACTCATAATACTTTAATTTTAATGCTTGCGTTTCTTCATCATTCTCATCTTCAAAGAACTTTATATTTATTTTTTTAGCTATAATTTGAGTGCGGATAAAGTCTTGCTTCATAAGACAGAGACGCATCTGTTCCAAAATTAAGGAAGCCTTTTCTTTTCTTGACATAGTTCCATATGTTTCTACCTGCAATTCGAGCATTACAGCATTTGCAGCTGCTACATCCCCATCTTCTTCTTTCAGCTTAGCTAATCTATGAGTAAGTCTTGCCCTTTCAACTTCAACATATATCTAGAGAAAAAAAAAATTACATCACTTACTAGATTTGTTTTTTTTTTTTGTTAAATAATGCTATTAACAAGAGAGGAACGAATGAAACATACCTTTCCTTCGGTTACAGAACGTAAAGTTTCTATCAATTTGGTCATAGTCTCTCTGTTTGGAGTTTTATCAATGTACGTGCAGCATTCTTGAACCATTTTTGTTACAGCTTGTTTCAGCTGGGATCTCCTTTTCGAAAGGAGCACAATGTGTTCGTTCAAAGCAGACCAATTTTTAGCTTCGTAGCATATTTTGACAATAGCAATCAAAACTCGAGAAGTTGATGGCATGTCCGATGCCTGAAGCAAATGTTGAGAGTTGTCATGAAAGTCCAAAGGCACATAATTGCAAAAATAGAATTTGAAAAATACTCACTGTTCTAGTCAGTTTCTCCAAAACTAAAAGTTGATCCAAAGCATCGTGCAGCTTCCCTTCTGCAGCCAACTTTTCGCATTCTGGTATTTTTGTATCGCAATTACTGCTATAATCCACCTCCATCTTAACAATTTTACCACCATCTACCATCAGTGAGTCCGACATGACTAGAATACATTTTTTTTTTAATTATTAAACGTCTTATAAAAAAAAATTTTTTTTTAATTTCTGAGTTTACTAAAAAGTATGATCTTTCCCATGCACAGTATCGCCTAAGTACTACAAAATGCCTATTTTTGGCTTTATCATTACAGTGCACTTTTTTTAACGAAACAAACAAAAGATCCACAATCACAAACGGTTTGACAATACTCAACAGTTCAATAGTATAGAACAAAAATGAAATCCCAACAAAAGTAGGTTCTTTAAGAGTTGTAATTGTTACTCAATGAAGAAACAAAATTAAAGCCCTGCCCATCAAGAATATAGGTTATCTTTGAAAATCGACATCATAAAATGTCATTATTAAACCCACTCATAACTACAAATATTTAATTACTTTTTGTCTGCCCAGTTACGAGTACTAGCCTCAATTCGTAAAAAAATTAAAAAACTCGCTTTTAACTTTAATTGTAAACGAAAAATGAAGACGGTATGGAGCACACTGTCATAGATATGAAGTATCAAAATACACGGACGCGTATTTCATCAATTCAACTCAGCGCACCTCCCTTACCTACAGACATGTATACACATAAAAACGCAGAAGAGTAGGTACACAAAAACACGTACGATGGCAGCAGTTAAGTTACGTAGGTCGTTGTAACGCCGCATGATCGGGCGGCGCTAGCGTCAACCTGTACTATCTATAGATATAGTCATGCAGAAGTTTCAGTAAAGCGTCTTGAATGGCTCGATGTTCAACAATAACAATGCCACATCTTGTTTAATTGACTGACACAATGGTTTGATTTAATTGTGAAAGAAGCACCAAGACAAGAAAAAAAAATTCCTTCTATTCATGGCTGATAAGGAAGAGGATGGAGTAACTCCAGAAAGTGACGGAGGTAATGAAGTAACCGAAGCTACGCCTCCTGATGTAGCAGTAAACGAAGAAGTTGCTCAAAATCTGGAGCCCACTCCTGAAACACCTGAGGTAAACAATGAGGAGGACAAGCCTCCATCAATGCCCACTGCTGTCAAGGAAAAGAAGAGTAACTTGTAGTTTTGTTTTGATAACTTGGGTAACAACGATCAGTTCAATGGATTCAGCTGATTGTCTGTTGGTTTTGTTTACAGTCGAAGTATTGCTGAAAGCTACGGGAGATGCTCCAATTATGGCGAAAAAAAAATGGGTTGTCAGTCCGGAACAGACTGTTGGGTGGATATCAGGATTCATAAAGAGAGCCATCAAGTTGGGAGTTGAAGAGAGATTGGTTAGTGTTTGCTCCATACTTGATGCTTTTGTATTATCCGTCATTGTTATTCACGGATTTTTTGAATTTTTCAGTTTTTGTACATAAACCAAACTTTTGCACCAGCCCCAGACCAAACAGTAAAAAATCTGTACGAGTGTTATGGATCCGATGGTAAACTAATCATTCATTACTGCAAGAGCCAAGCTTGGGGGTGAATATTACAGAGTTATATTAATGCAAAATAGGCCAATTGCTGTTTCAAAAAGCATCTTTCTCACTGGAGTGGGATTCAAAGATAAAAAACGTTATGTTTAGTTACTTTCTTTTTGTTATGTTTTTAAAATTTTTTTCACACAAGTAGTTTAATTTTTTTTTTGTTTTATACTTTAATACCAATCACATGAGAATACATAAAATATTTTTGTGTCCGATATAAGCGTTAAATTAAGGTAAACATGTACATATAAAAATAATCGCAACAGAGTAAGTTATTCAAAAGTAGTATAGTTATGACTAGATTGTTATTTCATTTTCATATTTTTTTTTTTTTTTTTTTTCATCAAGCTCATGTCCATGCAGTCATAGGAATTGCTTTACGTTTTTATTTAATAAACTGACACTGAAAGTTTGAAAAAATTATGCCAATAACTTCCTTTCTACACTGCCGCATTTCGAGTTTTTCTCACGACAGGACGTTGTTTCATTTTTCATCGATTTCTTTGACGAGGAAGACTTTGAAGATCTTGTGGTTTCTATAATTGGTGACTTGGTATTTTCCTCTTTGCATTTACAACTCTCTGGCAACGGCTGTATTGGATCACATTTGCATACAGGTGTTTCGCCGTTTCCTACAAGTAAGTAAATGGTGCAACAGTAAAAAAAATTCCATTTACAGAAATTACATGCACGCATACCTTTGTAAACAGCCTTGACACTCTCAGCAGCCTCCGATCTTGGCGTAAGGTCCGTCACGTTCTCATTGCCCAAGTCCAAGCTCAGACTCTTCTTGAACTCCTCTTCTCTCAAACTACAAGTCGACCTCGAGCTAATACTCGCGGCCAAGCGTTTCATCGGCGTCTTTTCAACTTTCATCTCGAATGGACACTTCCATATTAAAATAGCACCATCCCCGCTCGCCGTCACGATGTGCTTGCCGTCCGGACTGATCTTGCAGGCAGTGATGATAGCAGCGTGTCCCATGCCCACGTGAGTGGTCTCTCCAGCGTTGTAATTCCAAAACTTGACGACACCGTCGTTGCCTCCTGTGACAAAGTACTGGCCATCCGGACTAACGTCGATGCAGTTGAGAGCACCCGCTCCCGAACCCTCGAGCTCACGGATCATCGAGCCATCTAGCGTTTCCCAGTAAGCTATTTTCCGATCCGTACCGCAAGTCAGGATCTGAACGCCGTTCGTGCTGAAGCAGGCCGACATGTACATCGTGTTTCCCATCAGCACTTGTTTCCTTACCATACGCCTGTAAAAAGTATCCTTATTGCGAGATGCACATTTAAAACAACATTTTTTTTATCCTGCTCGCTCACTCGATGTCCCATATGATACAAGTTCCATCCGTACTGGAGCTTATCGCTTCCGTGCCATCGTGATTGATGTGCAGCGAAGTCACGGAGCCCCTGTGTACTTTCAACACGCAGAGCAATTTTTGTACCTCCGGATGGATCTCCCACATCCTTACCTGACAGCGCACAAAAGTCTCGATCAAGTACGCCGCTTGCTCGTCTTTGTAGATTTTTTTTTTTTTTTTTTTTTTTACCTGTCCGTCGCAGCCTCCGCTTACGATCTTTTTCCCATCTTTGGTCAGCGTTATAGCCGAAACGGCTTTAAGATGCGCATTGAGAATCGCAAAGATCAACCGGCCAGTTTGTGGCGTAAACGCGCGAATGATCCCGTCATTCCATGCTGAAACATCACCGTCAAGTTCGAGCAATATTTGCTAAATGACATCGGGGTTTGATTGAGCGAAACGAAAAGAAGCGTGTCCATATGTAAGCATACATACCGGATACCAGCATCCTCCCGTCGTAGGAGAAATAAATGCTCGTGCAAACGAAATTCGGTACGGTGATTCGCAAAAGTTCCCTCTGCGTCTCCAATCTCCACAGTCTGATGTCATTTTTGCTGCTGGTGGCGAATATTTCCGAGTAATTGCTGTCGGGGGATAATTTATATTTCCATCCAATGCAGACTTCAGTTAACAATAGCGCGAGAAAAGTAATAAAATGCACTCACTGTGGAAACGCTACGTCGTAAATCGTGGCCGTGTGACACGTAACGAGGAGACGCATGTCAAAGTCGGAGAGTTTGATTTGGTAAATTTCGCTGAGAATCGTGCCGACGACGATGAACTCGTTTTTCCAAAAAATCATCGAGGTCACCGCGCTCCTAACATTTTCGGCGAGCAGCTGCAAGTATACAATTACAATTGATACATGTAATTTCGCATATTGCGCCTATATAATATGTATATTGGTGTAGTAGTAATCCTTGTATAACCGTTTTTAACTGAGGCGTACTGGGCGACTTGATCCTCTTGTCGGGTTTCGCGTCCACCTGTGCCGTAATTGTCACCAGCTCCAGAGTCCCGTCTCCCGTGCCGACAACGAGCTTGTTCTGCCCCCAGAGGAGCAAATTGTCGACTCCACCGGAGTACGGATCGCCGATCCCGAGCCTACGTTTTTTCGCGTTTTTCGATATTTTCGAGTAACAACCGATCATCACCGGCTGCTGCACCGGCTCCATGTGCTCCATATTGTGATAGTAGTTTAATCTTTGTTTGTCGAAACACACATCGATTTCATGATTATATACTTGGTTTTTTTTTTTGCAAAGAGTCGTGTATAGTTTCGTACTTGGTTTTGATGATGTCGCCGGATGAGGTGCCGCAGTACGCGTTTTCGTCCCTCTCGTCGATGACCACGCACTTGACGCATCTCTTCAGTTTGCCGACTTTGACGTCCTGGCCGTAGACTTTGCGCGTCTCCACGTTGATGCGCCACACTTTGAGGGTCTGGTCGCCGACAGTCACGAAACACAAGTCACGCAGGTTCGTACGGCAAACGGCGTAAGCGTTGCCACCGATGTCCGTGCTTGCGAAAGCTCCTGCAATACTTGTTTTATTATTAAATATAATACCCATGTGTGTTATTTTCAATTGTTTTATTGTAAATTAAAAAAGAACGAAGAAGAAGTTTTACCAGGATAAACTTTAACTGTCATTACACGTTACTTTTTTTCCTCTCTCCGTTTGTCCCAATCACCCATTTAGCCCCAAACAACAATAATATATATACATACACGTGAAAGCGACCCAGTAACGAGAAGCTAAAGACGAGGAGTGTGACTCAAAAAGAAAAAAATTACCAACACTGTGTAATAAATGTATTACCGCACAAGGCGTCGTTCTTTTTGACGTTCCATATGACAACGTTGCCGTCGTCCCGTCCTCCGAGGCTTATCAGGAAATTGCTATCGCAAGAGAAGCAGATACTCTCAATCCTCACTTTGTGGATCTCGTGGCTCGATTTCAACTTTCTCTCGTGATAATCCCATATGATTACCTTTGCCTTTGTCGTGATTATAAAACGAATCATTGTTATGTACTATATTATCAAAGGTATATGTCGTTATCTTGACGATCGTAGATAAAAAAAAAAAAAACAAACAAACAAATTAAGGAATAACATTATTCTGAAGTACCTTAGAAAAAATAAAAATACATACACCATTGTATCGAAAAGTGAAATGTTGTTTGTACAAAATCGCTTTGGCATAACATGATCGTCATCGTGGATTTCTTGACGAGTAACAAAATTGTCAATGAGTGAATAAATTGATGATTATTTAACCTTGAATCCCATGTGATTGATTTGTCCGGAAGCGACATATTTGCCGCAAGGTGAGATGCACATCGTTGATATCAAGTTCGTGTGTCCTGATAAGAAGGCCTGTTTTCCCGTGATTATGTGCTTAACCGTGACTTTGTTGCCCATGGGATAGACAAAGTGCTCGTTATCCGGATGCAGCTGCAGGGCATTTTTCGTCAGGCCTATTTTTTCCCCCCAGGATTTTTATTAACAAATAAGTATGCTTGTTTCTTTGTGCAAAACAGTTGTATTCCCTAGGTGTGTGTGTAATTGACGTACCGTCAAAGGCAACAATTCCAGCTATTTCGAGGTCTTGAATGTCCATTATCAAAGGGACCGATGAAATAAGGTGTAGAAAAATTAAACGTGTACGGGCTTAATTCTTAAATATAACTCTGCCAAATAATAGGCCATTACAGCGTTCGAAACAGCGTCCCACGTCAACGCGTTGTCATGGCAACGACGTCAACGTTAGTTCGAATCCGCATCATGTATACTTAATATATGTTAGAAGTTAGAACGGAGGCTCCGGCCGGGCTTGGCTCAAAACATTATACCTTTTTGTTTAATTAAACAATATCCCTTATGATATTTTTATAGAGCTAAGAGAACGAAAGAGAGTGTAGCTTTTCCTCGTCATAATAAATATTACCTAAGTATGTTAGCATCACCGACCATACACCGCTTTTTTTCGTTTTTGCGTGCTCCATCAGCTCCATGAAATGATTTAATTAGTTCAAAGTGAACATAAAAATCACCAATGAAAGAGGTTATGTCATCCAACTATCCAATAGAAATCAAATGATTCATATATATTTTACTGCTCAACGAATTAAACACGTATTGTCTGAATTCCGAATTTAAATTCCTCAAAAGAGCAGTGCGCATGTGCAGCCTTCTGCCATGCCATGTCCATGTGACGTGACTTGTGGCAGTTGGCCTTTAACCAGACGTAAACATTTATTACAAACGCGCGCCAAGTGTCTTGTCGGTGGTGTTGTTGCTGATTTGTACCAAATTCTTTGCATTTGTCAATTTTTAAAAAATGAGCAATACTACGATGGATTTATCTAATGCATATCGGTGAGTATTCAACAATCACAACTCAAATTGCCGTTACAACGTTGAAATACCTGCCAACCTAACCTCGTCTCTTTATTGTTTATCTTTTTTTTTTTCTTTTACAGAGCCATCAGTCCTATGTTTCGTAAAAATATGAGATTACAAACATACAAAAACTGGCCCTTTAGTTCGAGCGATGTGTGTAATGCTAACAATATGGCTGCAGCAGGATTTTACTGCATTGGTGGCAAAGATGAACCTGATCTTGTTGAGTGTTTTCTGTGCTGCAAGCAACTTGATGGCTGGGAATCTACCGATGATCCTTGGTATGTCTTATAGTTTATTAACATTTATAAAATTTACACACTATTAGTGCTTACTGCTTATTACTGATCTATTTTCTAACACCAAAGCAAATATTTACAACGCAATTGCCTCTATGTGTGTGATTTTTAATGGTTTTTTGAATAGTTTATTTGATAATGCATACATTATTCACAGGGAAGAACACAAAAAGCATCAACCAAATTGTCAATTCATTCAACTCAACAAACAAGATGAAGGTTCCATGACTGTTAAGGACCTATTTTACTTGATAAAGGTCTATCACAAACAAAAAAATGTTAGTATCCCAATATGCGATAGCTTATGTTAATTGTCAATCCATGCAGTTTAAGCATTGAAGTTAAATGTTGCACGTGTGCTTTTGTTTCAGAATCTTGAATTTGAAAATTCATTAAAAACATTGAAAAGCGAGTGGAAAGACGAGCTTATTCCGGATTTTTACAACGCATTGAAAAAAAACCAAAAAAAACCGAAGGATTCCTTGTGATTGCAACGGTAGAGGTGTAAACTAGATTATTTATGATAATTATAAGTGTACATCGATAGAAATCGTATTTTATGAATAATTATTATTATTATTTTTTTTTTTTATCTTTAACTGAGCCCTTTTTGATATCAACTGATTATTATTTTCTAACATGTAATCATCGACAATCCTGAGCATCATTGATTCTTTTGTAAATAAATACATTTCGTTAATTTTCTTAAATAACATACACGATTAATTTTAGTATTTATTCCTTCTGTCTTTGCTGCAAACTGGCCGTGCGGAGTAAGCTTCAGCTCTTGTCCGCGTGTCTTATCTACAATGATGAATCGCGAGCCATCAAGTCTGGCTGGCTTAATAAATAACACTTGGTTACTTTCCACTTCATAAAGAGAGATGTTCTCATTGTTCTCAAGAAAACAGACAGTCAATGACTTTGACGAATAACAATAATCGCCGATAAGTAACAGAAGTTGAATCAGAAGGCTTCGTTACTTATCGCAACGGAAGAAAAAAAAAAAAAAAAAAAAAAAAAAAAAAAAAAAAAAAAAACGTACTCGTCGAGTACAATTGATATTTGATTGATTTCCGTCGGCGTCCACATTCGTAACATCATAGTCCGTGGAAGGTGTCCACACAGGAAGCAGAAGCCGAGGAGAGTCAGCCCCGAGATAACGGTCAAGACCGCACTAGCTTCTCGGCAATGTGTTTGCACGCATACGCGTGTCGGCAACTCGCGCGGAGTAACGCTCGCCGAGGCACCGAGGAAACGATCAACTTAACACAATCGTGAAGCCATTCGTGGGCGCGTGTGGCGTGGAACGCGTCTCCCTTTGCGTTATTGAAAAACACCCTCGTCGTCGCCGTATGATTCTACGGTCGAAGTATCGTACCAGCGACTCGTGTGCCGATTGCAGTGGACGATTTTTGTTGTCGCGGGCCACTGTGACCCGTGGATTCCGGAGTTTGAAAACCAGCGCCGATCCACCGCGGAGAGCCAAGAGGAAGAAAAAAAGAAGGGGGCATTATTGCGCGGGTACCGATTTTCCGCCGATCGGGTGGATGAGAGCGAAAAGAAGCAAAGAATGCCGAAGGCGAAGAACAGCGAGAGCATACCCTTGATCGAGAAATGGGTGACGGATTCGCCGAGGGTCAAATGGGCCCGTGCCAATCAACGAGGTAAATTACGATCGATGCATGGAGTCGTCATCGGGACAGTGTCAAAAAAAAAAAAAAAAAAGTGTCGACAGATATGTGTTATTGTTTTTTCATTCTTTATTTTTTACCGTCCCTCCGATAACGATCAATAGAAATTACGTTACATTACTCGCTCGCGCGCATACGTGTGTGCGAAGAGGGGGCGAACACGCTTCGGTGAATTTCCACGTTCTACCTGTTGTGACAAAAATAAGTTATTGTACAACTTTGAGGCGAAGCGGAGGTGTACTATATACTCTCGCATAAGATTGTTTTTTTTTTTTTTCTCCATAATATGTATGCATGATACAAATTACCTTTGATCGTATAGCGAATCCCCACTTTCCTCACCAATTTTCGTTACAACTCTCTATTATCACAACCATCACTTATTTCGCGTATAGGCTTCGTGTCTTGTGTATTATCTGTATGTGCACTGCGACGGCCCCACGCGTTACACGCATTTATGTTATTATTTTTTGCCGTCAATATGCGATCATCGTGATTGCAGGTGTCGTGAGTGATCGGTGAGACTTTGTTTTTTTTTTTTTTTTTTTCACACCGGTGTTTATTTTACTTTGGGCGAAAAGGTGTTGAAATACATTACGACCAATGATTAAATTTTGCGGCTCAACCAGGTTGTACACTATAGCTAATCGGCGCGTCGCGGGGAGGAAAATATTTTTTGTTGTTGTTTCAATAAGGAATTTATGAGGAAAAATATGTACATTGATTTGTAAAATATTTTACTGCACGCGATGCGAGATGATAATCGACGCGTAAATGATAAAATTGCACATTATTCGGGTAAACAAAATCAAATTTTTTACTTTGATGTGTTTTCGCGTTTAGGACTATCATTGGTTTGACGAAAGAAAATAAAAAAAGTGTCAATGCTTCTTATCAAATAAATATTCCTTTGCTGTAACAATAGGGGCGGGAGGGTGATACTTGAGAAGTTCGAGGGATTGATGAATATTACGAAAACGGAAAAGAAAAAAAAAAAGAAATAAAGTACAGTGTAACGAGCGAGGAGAGATGTATATTTGAAAAGTAAATAAATATATTCTCCTAGCGATGGGGGGATGATAAGAGAAGTTCGAAAAGTTTTGTGAATCTGGAATTTTTTGGTAAGTAATTTTATTCGATTGATTAATCAAGTATACGTTAAAATATACAAATTATTGTACGCCGTACAAAAATAAATATGCGCGCATTTAAAAAACCATGGCTTATTTATTTTAATAACCACACGGAGAGTGATAGTTATTAACTTGTCCCAGTTAAATTGAACGGTTGAGCAAGTACGCGTATTTACATAAGCGTGTATATTATTCATCCAATCGAGTGACGCTCATCGTGCCTATACATTAAATTTAATATTGGCCTGACATTGTGATATTAGATATTAAAAAATGTTCAAAACATAAAAGTACTATTTTTATAATTTAACGGCGACTTTGACATCTTTTTCGTGCAAACATTGATAAATATCTATACCTACTCGTTCATTGAAATGTTTGCCGTTGGCTAAACTCACGTTTTCTTACTACGATTCTGTTAACAATTGCAAGTTCAGGTCGGCGTGGTAATTAATTACAATCATAAAGAATAAAATGCGTTAATTTTTGTACTAATTGCTTGAAAGATGCAGTATCAATTCTAATCAGGTGTCCATTACTAATACGTTCGTTACTTGTTGATAATTTTAGAAATAATCAATTGCCATTGCTCGTGTGCAATAGCCAAAACGACATACTTTTTAATTAATAGACGCAGACAAGGGTTATTAGCAGAGTTATCTAAAAGTTAAAAAACTATTTCGAAAATTTTATTACATACTTAACAACGGTATGCTTATCTTGTTATTGTTGAATAGGAGAATACACTCGATGCAAAAAATAGCTGATAACTGATAAAGAAGGAATGTCTTTGATGATTTTTCTTTTTTTTCTTTTTTTTTTTTTCATTGTTACCATACGTAATTCTTTTTATCTAGCGTTGGATGATCATGAAATTGTTATCGATATTATCATTATTATTATTTTTTTTTTTCTAATCCACTCGTTTGACCTACTTCTTTTTAATGTAAATTAGACTTTGTTTTCACATTTTTACCTTTTAATAAATAAAACTCCAAATTAACCTCTTTCATAGCCTTTCAAAAATGTTTGGTACAGTAGCCCTTCAAAGTGCAGCTGTGACGAAAATAGTAGTGATAATTAAACAATTATTTTGGACGAATTTATTGTTATTATTATTATTATTATTATTTTTTTTTTTTCCTTATTTTATTTTGCGCATCAGAATTTTGCTGTGATTTTCATCAAGATAACACAAATTTGAGCTTTCGTTGTGACAATAAAAAAGGCTTAATCGAACGATCGAAGGAATCCTTGAAAAATGTTTAATTGTCGGTGTTTACCGACGAGTGTCGTTGCAAAGTGTCAATATATCTTTGAACAACGATTCACATAATTTGTTGTAGCGGTGTAAGAACAAGTGCAAACAGTCGGGGCGGCTAATATCAATTTGCATGGTTTTGGAGCCACGTTGACTCGAAAGTCTCGAGAATAAGAAAAAGATAATCACTTGGTTTTTTGAAAACGTCATCGTGCCGGGCTTTACATATTTTTAATCGTTCAATTCGTGGTTTCTTTTGTCAATAAAGCATCTTTATCGCGCTATGATTTTGTAATGTCGCGAGCATCGGGGAAACAGCATCAGAAATTGTTGCTTCGTTAGTGACAGCATTTAACAAAGTCATCATTTCGTGAATAAAATGTTGAATTGATTTACGGGAAGGTGTTAGTTTTATGACTGGCGGGTAACTATTACTTTACAGTGACAAGAGATAATAATGTACGGAGGACAATAAATATTAAATAATGAAATGACAGATCTAGAGAGAAAATGCTCGTTTTCTAAAAAAAGATCTTGAGCTCCATTTTATGTAATCACACGCACGAGCTTTTGTCTTGGACAACTGCAAAAATTCGTGGCGCATTTTTGAAACAAATTCACTAAAGACAATTTGGTTTTTTTTTTTTTTTAATGTTCGAAGAACATCCTGAGTTAAGTACATTAAAAAAAAAATCATTTATGTTGAAACACCATTTTATTTGGCAATTACTTTGAGTCCAAGTATATATTTTTCAATCATTATCATTGAGGTAGATGTAAGAATGGTTATGTAAGAAAATAGTTTAATTAAAAAATACCTCAAAAGATCGTAAACATATCCGTAGTACTGTACGACATTTTGCAATTTATTTTACCATCATAACAAAATTAGTTTCTTGTTTCGATTTTTTTTTTTACGGGCTACAATATTAAATTTTCCGTTGCCTCGCATAACATATTGCATAATACTCAATTTGTTTCGGTGTAACCAAAAATATTTATCTTTTCTCTAAGAAGTGCTTAAAATTCATCGTAAATATTTTTTCCCCCTCGTATCGATTCTTTAAACAAAGATTATTAAACGTCCAATCGGCAGATAAAAAAAAAAAAAAAAAAAAATTTTACTATCCTACAGCAGCAATAAACGTAAATATACAATCTGTCAATGAAACAGACAAATCGAGTGCAGGTGCAAGGGGAATGTACTTAGTCGCGCAGGTGGATGACATAATTTACAATCGTCTCGCTCCACTCGGTTTTTTTTTTTCCCCTTTTTTTACCAATAAATACACGGTAAAAAATGTTTATGAAGTACTTTTTCATTTATTTTCCAATCAAACCAACCGCAATGACTCAATAAAACTTGACTATTATCTCCTGCAAACAATAGATTGGAAGTCGAAAAAAAAAAAAAAAAAGAAATCGGTGTACAGAGGAAAAAAAAAGGGGTCCTGTAAAATTCATGCAACAATCGTGCATCGTATAACCGTCAGAGCCGAAGAATAAGTCGCGGGTGATGCGCCGATAAGCATCACCCCCTCTGAAATTAAACGAGAGATAAGGAGGAACGCGATTGGATCGTCGATCGGCCCTTGGCACGCACTCGCATCGACTTGGTCACGGTACGGGTCCAAAATTTTACCGGGCCATCGTCATAACTGGTCATCAAAAATCGGTATGGCCCCGCGCCTATGTTCCACGATCGGGGAACCACAATGAGCCGAGGGAAACGAGAGCTTATCTTACCTTACAGCGTATGCGTGCAAATAACGCGCGAGCGAGTAATATAAAAGGCGAAATTGACGGCGGCGCGCGATCATAGTAGGGGCCGACGCGCGCGGGCACGCGTCGGAACACACGTAACCGTGGTCTTACCGATATTCACCGGCTTTACATACATGGAGACTTGATTTTTTTTTCACTGCTCTGTTTTTTCAAGTATTCAATACAAATCAAGGGTTACAAGTACCGGCTTACGATAATTTCGACGTATAGAGAGTGTGCCGGCGAAGCTCGCGTGTGAAAGAAAGGTGATTTTTTTTTTTTTTTAGTGCAGCTCCATACGTGGCCTCAAAATATATATAAATCGGCTCGTGGGTACTTGGTGGTATTTCGAAGTACTTGAGACTCGGAAGAATCGATCCTCGAGATGGTGATGCTTTCCGCGGGGAAATCTTGCTGTGAGTACCTATACCCATCCACACGTATACAGTACATATATATGTATAAGTTTGCGTATACAATTGTACTTATATTTGTAAACATTATTTTGTATCGGTCACTAGTCGAGTCTCCTCGCACCCCGTAAAAGTTTCATCTCGATTTGGTCCTTTCCGCCGAACAATCGCTGAATTTTTCCCTGCTGGGAACACTGTGAATTCAACTGTCAACTAAAACGCCGTTCTCGACTTAGCTGTTTAGGTGATATACAAGTAACAATCGGGGCGATCGATTTCCTTATCTTCGGACCTACAATGGCTGATGGCCATTTCAACGGGCCGAATCTATCGTAGCGAGAAAAGCCGGGTACACTCCCGGACAGTCCTGTTTGGAACGAATCGTTTCGTTCGGTTGGAATACGCGCGATGCCATTTGACATCATCTCTCATACATGTTGGTCTCCAGCGGGATTCATACAAAGTTCGTTTGTGGGTGCACACGTGTACAGAGATAAAACGAAATGAAAGAAAAACATACCTATATACTTGGTTTATTCTGGCTAAAGAGAGGAGCGCGAGAGGCCTTTTGTAAAATTACACGACCGTGACATGATGTAACGGTGCGTTACACGCTCTCCTCGCCAATTTGTAATTTTCGACGTCAGCAACAACAACTACTGGCCCCCTCCCCCTCTTGCGTGACGAGACGTTCATCGACGCCTGTGTATATACATGCATTGTTGCGGATCGATTGTCGCACGAATTTTCCTCATCTTGAACGTTAAATCCATACGCCGGTAACATTATTTCAGAGGAAAACTCGGTGAAAATCCTCGCTTTGGTTTTAATTTTGTACATTTTTTAACCAACGCCGATGTCGCGCTTGAATTCCTCGCAAAAAAAAAACAGAAAGAAAGAAAAAATACCTACGCCGCTCTTCAGGCCTCAACCTTCGCGTTACGACGACCATTATCTCACTTGTTCGTACAACTGTACGATACATCTTTTTTTTTGTCCCTCCCCCTCCCCCGCCTCTCGCTAATATCGGCGTTTTGGTTATCCAATCGCTCTATTGTCTATCGAAAGATCGAGCGCGCCTGTAAACACACATATAGCGTGTGTGTACATAGCGATTGCTGTGTATACGGCGTGTATGGTTTTTCCCCCGATTTTAAAAAGCGATCGGTGCGATAAGCCTGACGATAATTTTTTTGCTTGTTTTTTTTTTTTTTTTGTTTTTCTTCTCGCGCGAAATGTATGAGCCTCGTTACCGCCGAAAAGTACTCGGTGCGCACTTCCGATGCTTCAATTGTCCCGAAAGCAATAATTGGCCCGTCGTGCGTAATTGCATTGTTTTTAACCCCACCCGACGACACGGCAAATCACGAAAAATAAAAATTGTCGTTAAATCCTCCCCCCCCCCCCCCGCCCGCCTGATTCAACAGTGTCTCTCTTTCTCTGTACTCTTGTAAAAAAAAAAAAAAAAACAAGCAGCGGTTCGATCGGCCAATTCGATTTTCGTCCACCCGTGTACTCGAGCTTCCGCTTCCGGCTCTTTGACACTTTTTTTTTTTATTATTTCTCTCGCTTCCTACGTGTAGCTCCTCGTTAGGACGCGATAGACGGTCGGCTGCGAAAACGTTTGTCAATGACGTATACGTTAATTGTATATACAGTCGGTTTAGGAATTTTGTTTACGTTTGCCTCTTTGATTCGTGGATTCTCTTATCGTCGATTTCGCTGTAAATTGTATACTGATTGAACGCGCTCTTCTGTGGACTTTGGGTTTCGCTGATGGTAAATCAAATGCGCCTACGTTTTGGAACCTTCGGATACCGCGGGACGCCGGTTGTCCGGTATATTGTTGAAATTGTCATTTTGACGAGGGCCCACGTGTATATATAGCTTATTTGTCCAGATTCCATCAATTACCGCTGATGCGTATACGCACTGGTGCGTGACCATTGGACCATTTTTGTGCCAAATATTTGGTGCAAGTGAGTGTACGGCCCAGTGGAACGATGATCGAGCACCTTATCTATGAGGGATTCCCCAAGTATACTCTTATACTTTTTGCGATTTTCTCACCATCAAAGACATGTAGCTTGAACAATCAGTGCCGCTGGTATGATGTCTCGGGCCCAATCGTAAAGTGAAAAATTTAGTCGAAAACCGTTTGTAAAAAAAAAAAAAAAAAAAAAAAAGAAAAACTCTAATTGTATAATGAATGTCCATCTTGCGTGGTTATGGGTGTTATTATTTATTTTTTTATTTTTTTTTTTCTTCACCGGCAAATTACTCTTTAAAACGTCAAGTTGCAGAGCAGCGATAATTTGCACTGTACCTTCTGTGATTTAACACTCGGCCGGGTACGTTTCCACGAATGATTCATCGAGGCGCGAATTCCGTGGAAATTTCTTCTTATCGAGCGAGGACGAGTGACTTTAAGGGGATGAAAAAAAAAAACGAGAGAGAGAGAGAGGAAGGAAATCCGTGCAAATACGCGCGATCGGTATAGTTAAGAGCGATGCTCCATTTGTTTGTGACTTAACGTGCAATGGAAAATCGAAAGGAGCCGGGATTGGGTGCAGCGCGCTTATGCAAATTTCCGGGAAACTATATGAATTGTAAGAGCAGCGCGTGCAAAGTCACTCGTTGCAATGTCCATAGTGATTAGCGAGGCATTCCTCGGTAATTGCACGCTACGCTTTGACGGATCGACATTTGAGCCACGCTATTTAATTACCTCCCACGAATGTACCGCACGTGAGCGTATCTATACCGATGGGATGTCTCGTTCTTTCTTTCTTTTTTTCGTTCCGAAATAAATGAAAAAAAAAAAAAAAAAAAAAAAAAAAAAAAAAAAAAAAAAAAAAACAAGCAGCGGTTCGATCGGCCAATTCGATTTTCGTCCACCCGTGTACTCGAGCTTCCGCTTCCGGCTCTTTGACACTTTTTTTTTTTATTATTTCTCTCGCTTCCTACGTGTAGCTCCTCGTTAGGACGCGATAGACGGTCGGCTGCGAAAACGTTTGTCAATGACGTATACGTTAATTGTATATACAGTCGGTTTAGGAATTTTGTTTACGTTTGCCTCTTTGATTCGTGGATTCTCTTATCGTCGATTTCGCTGTAAATTGTATACTGATTGAACGCGCTCTTCTGTGGACTTTGGGTTTCGCTGATGGTAAATCAAATGCGCCTACGTTTTGGAACCTTCGGATACCGCGGGACGCCGGTTGTCCGGTATATTGTTGAAATTGTCATTTTGACGAGGGCCCACGTGTATATATAGCTTATTTGTCCAGATTCCATCAATTACCGCTGATGCGTATACGCACTGGTGCGTGACCATTGGACCATTTTTGTGCCAAATATTTGGTGCAAGTGAGTGTACGGCCCAGTGGAACGATGATCGAGCACCTTATCTATGAGGGATTCCCCAAGTATACTCTTATACTTTTTGCGATTTTCTCACCATCAAAGACATGTAGCTTGAACAATCAGTGCCGCTGGTATGATGTCTCGGGCCCAATCGTAAAGTGAAAAATTTAGTCGAAAACCGTTTGTAANACACAGGTATATCAACAAAATTTCTCTTTGTTTGTTTATACAGCGCTTTATCCCTTGTGCATTGTAATATGACGTACACGAGATCGTACCGATCGGCAGTTGGGGTTTTTTTTTTTTTTTTTTTTTTCTTTTTTTTAAGGATCGTTGCCCCGGCGCGATGAGGATTAAACGCGCTTACGTCCAACTATATAGATACGTGTGCAGGTATACATTACGTATAATATACATTTATGGAAATGTTTTTTCGATCGCGCGCGGGATCTTGTACTTATCTTGCAATTGCACGCTTTTATTGCTCCTCTTCTTTATCCGCGATATCGCGCGTAAATATTAAAAGGTAATAATCCACGGATAATTGAGCGATTCTTTTCTTCTTCTTCTTCTTTTTTTATATACTTTTGCGAGCAATGAAGCTTTGGACTCCTTGGCGCATCGGATGATAAAATTGAGGAAAAAATCGGTCATTTTTCACGGCTTTATTTCTAACGCTAATGAACAATCAGCGTGTAGTGTAATATATGTGTTGCGTAATGCGCGAGGTACGTGAATATTTCAGAGTTTTAACGATATTACATAAATGAAGGGTAATCACGTTGCCGTACGACGTACCATATAATTGGCAAGAAGACCAATACACCCGAGTTACGTATATATAATATGAATCGGTATACATATTGTACGGTATGCAGGCGCGACTTATCGATACACGAAATCGGCCAATTTTTTTTTAATTACATCGGTATCACTCGTCGATTACGAATTAATGGAGGTTAACGATCGACGGCGAGATAACAGGTGGTCGACAGAGGGGGAGGGGGGAGGAAGGATAACATTATGATTCTGCGTGCGATTAAATTCCGGATTTCAATCAATATGCATTAAGAGCACAATAGATACATATAATATATTGTACAGGTGTGGACAGAGAAGGTGTATTATTTATTCTTTTTTTTTTTTTTCTACTGATTATTCAGAATGTAATATCAGGTTGAGGTTGTTCACGAAGCTATATACCCTTGAATTTTGTGGGATATGTTTACACGCATCACAAATTGAGAGCCCATGGATGTCGAAAAAAAAAAAAAAAAAAAAAAAAAAAAAAAAAAAAAAAAAAGTACGAATAAAGCTGATGAAACGGTGTTGTATACATATAGGGCTGGATCCTGTCCTCGTTCTACTGGGGCTACGTGGTGACGCATCTGCCGGGTGGCATGCTGGCCGAGCGCTACGGCGGCAAGTACTCGCTCGGCTTGGGTATCCTGTCGACGGCGATTTTCACACTGTTGACCCCAGTTTCGGTGGACGCCGGTGGGGCGGTGGCTCTGATCGTGCTCAGGGTACTGATGGGCCTCGGCGAGGGCACGACCTTCCCGGCGCTCAATGCCATGCTTGCCCAATGGACGCCGCCCGAGGAGAGATCGAAAATCGGCTCGCTCGTCTTTGCCGGCGCTCAATTGGGTAAGACCCGCTTTTCGTGACTCTTATTTTTTTTTTTTTTTTTTCATTTCCACACACTCGTCCACTGTGCTACGATGATGAAACTTGTCTCTTTTTTTCCCCCTGTGTAATGACTAATACGTCGATTACGGAATTTCCAATTTCGTTCGTCGCGAGAGAAAAAAAAAAAAAAAAAAAAACAATCGCAGCGATTACCGCAACAATAAAATTCTTTTTGATGCCGCGGAAAAAAATTAAATTATTTACTGCGAACCTACTCGTCGCCGTGGCATGGCTTTATTAACTTTTAAATGATACTGGTATTTAATGACATTCCGCACTCGTTGGTCCGTGGCTTGAAGAAATTACATTTGTACGAATAAAAAAAAAAAAAAAAACAATCAATAAACCATTTGCAAAAAAATAAAACAATAAAGTTGTAAATCTTGGTTATTCGATAAAAAAAAAAAAAAAGGATACGATCGGCGAACAATGACGTCAATACTTGTCGAGCGAAAATAAAAAATAACAATAACAATTGATGAACGTCCAACGTAATGTTACTTGCATGAGTTATACAATTGAATCTTATCCATCGGAGTATAATTTGCGATAATGCTCGTTGCTGTATCAAGTATTAAAAAATGATTGATCGTCCCTAAACTCTGATGGGCCAATTCTCTGTACGCGCTACCATGGAAAAAAAGAAAAAAAAAAAAGAAAAAAAAAAAAACTTGCAGGCACGGTGTTCGCGACGACAGTGTCGGGCCTGATAATGCACCACTCGAGTTCCGGCTGGCGCATGGTGTTCTACGTGTTCGGGGGCATGGGTGTCCTCTGGTTTCTCGTCTGGGTGGTACTTTGCTACAACAACCCGCGGGAGCACCCGTTCATCTCGGAGGAGGAGGCCAAGTACCTCGACGAGCGCATGAGCGCGCACACCCACCAAAAACCACCGCCCGTGCCTTGGCGTCACTTGTTGCGCTCCGCCCCCGTGTGGGCCCTCATCGCCGCCCAAATCGGCCACGACTGGGGCTTCTTCACCATGGTCACCGATCTCCCCAAGTACATGGCGAGCGTCATCAAACTCCCCATCAAGGACAACGGCTACTGGTCCTCCCTGCCTTACCTGTGCATGTGGTTCTTCAGTTGCTTCGCCTCGTGGCTCGCCGATTGGATCATCGTTCGCCGTTACCTATCCACCACCACGGTACGGAAAGTCGGGACCACCATTGCCTCCATCGGCCCCGGCGTCTTCATCATCCTCGCCTCGTACGCCAGCTGCAACGTTACCCTCGTCATCGTCTACTTCACCGTCGGCATGACCCTCATGGGTGCCTTTTATCCAGGTACGGTACATACATCACCCAACATGTATATACTATATATATTATGTACTTTACTTGTTTAATCGTGACCCATGATTGTCGCAGGCATGAAGGTCAACGCGTTGGATCTCAGTCCGAATTATTCGGGCACGTTGATGGCCATGGTCAACGGTATCGGGGCCTTCACGGGGATCATAACCCCGTACATAGTGGCCGAATTGGCACCTCATTCGACCCTCTTCGAGTGGCGTTTGGTCTTTTGGATCGTCTTGGGCGTGTTCATCGCGACAAACGTCATTTTCATCGTGTACGCGAGTGGCGAGGTGCAGCCCTGGAACGACCCCGCCTTCGAGAGGAACGGCCAACAGGGCAAGTCGTCGTTGAAGATCCAGGAGGCCACCATAGGTGCCATTTACGGGAAAAAATCGGCCGGAGGCGCGTGATGGCCAATCCTACGTTCTTCGTTTTCGCGGGTAAATGGAAGTGGCAGTTGGCGGGGAAAAAGGGGACATTCGCGCTCGGAGACGCTATATTATATACGTACTTATACGAACGTCGTGTGTTACCTGCAGTGTGTACAACTGCGCACGTAGTCGAGTACCATTTTTGTCCTCGATCGAGCAATCAACGGGAGCAATTTTGTTTTGTCTGTGATCCAGATTTCAAAAGGAAAACACGATGATGATACGATTCAATGGTTTGTTATCGCTGTGCGCTAGTTTTTACGACTTTTACATAGTTTACTCTTTGTTATGTCATGCAATTATACACTACACGTCCCGTGTCGACTCTGTACATAAACGAACTTGTTAATGCAATAACTAAGTCACTATTACGAGATTACAGTTGTAAATAATCCATACCTACCTAGGGAAATACTTATTATTATGGTAAACGACATTTTGCTAAGAGATTACTAGACTCAATGTGGAGTTACGCAAAGGAAAAGGAAAAAAAAAACAACATAGTAGTCATTTTTTCGCTAGATCAACACTATAAATGCATGAGAGGTGAATAACTAATCGAAAAATGTAAAAAAAAAAAAATATTACGATTAATACTGCCTGGATGATTGTTTATCAGCAAATACAATGAAACAGATTACAAAGTGCAAGCAAAGCGTCGTTTAAAAAAAAAACCATAACAAATATACCATACGTTTTGTCCGATAGGTAAATTTAATTTGATTAAAATTTATTATTATCTTTATTATCAAGTGCATTCGATCAATCATAAAGCGTTGGAAAAAAAAAAAAAAAAAAAAAAAAAAAAAAAAAAAAAAAAAAAAAA